TAAACCTGTCCTTTAAGCTGTCTGCCAAGACAGTATTTGTATAAAATATTTGGGAAAGTCAATTAACAAATTCGCTGCCAACCATTTTCTGATGGGTAAAGCCCTTCGCTGCCAGTGTTTCTCACCGTTTTTGCTGTTTTTTTAAGAGTGACAGAACGTTGTGCTCTAGGATGATGTTGACGCCAAAACAACCAAAACAAAGTGGAGACTCACCTCTTACATCAGGAAGAATCCGCGCGCTTCGAGCTTAATCCGTTCTTTCATAATCCATTGTTGAATTGTGATCGGCAGAAGCTTTTCCTGTTCGCGCCTCAATTTTTATTTACAGCAGCAGCCCAAAACGATCTCCTAACACATGGATTTTCTGCTTACGGATCACGTGACGTGTGACATATGTGGGTGAAGATCAGCTTTAGAGTTGAGATGTTTGTTCTCATGGTGCGGGGGTTCGTTCCGATGCCCACACAGTAAAAACATGCAGTGAAGGGTTGGATTTAAAATGACGACTTTTGTCGACAATGGTAGTGAATGAGTTAAGTAATTTTTGTAAATTTTTGAGAACACATAAATGTTGGTAAATAGCTTATATTACTAATTAAGTCAGGCTGTTTTCATTGCAGCTGTTTGTAAAGTAGATAAACAGGATATTTAGTCAGTTATAGGATGCTCATATGATGTATTATATCACTTACACCTCTAGGATATACAGCCAGCTTGTTGGATTTGTCCACATGTGGCCTGTGTTTCTGTGAAATGGTGCACAGTATCTCACACTCATGTGTTCACAGCTGGCCACTTTTTGCCGATGCAACTTTAGTTGTTTTCATTTAGAGAAATGGGAATGGGCTTACACAGATGGCCTTTTAGTTGAGGATAAAACTGAGGAAGTGTGGGGAGATGAGTTGTTGCACTCTGTTGTGTAACAGAGAGAGATTTCACTACGCACAGCTGATGTGTGCCCAAAGGCATTTTGGCTGCAGTTCCTCACCAGACCAATCATTAACCATAACCACTATCTCCTTTTCTGGCTCCAATATTTCTCCTTCATTGGTAGCTACAAATCTAAAACCCTCATCAGACACAATCTGTCGCACCAAGTCTACACACCCTTGGTGTGACAGTTCTCGTTTGATCCAGGGGGTCGATGGTCACTGCCGGTGGTGTAAACTCTGATACCCGTAGACAGTTCCAATAGGACCCGTCCAGTCTGAGATCCCTCGACGTGAAGGCAGGAAGCTGGAATGCATATTTGCGTCTAAGGCGGATGTTTGCTTGGCTCTTAGAAGAGCCAGTTGTCTGGTATCAGCCGCAGCGTTGCAGAGAGGCTTTGACAGGAGGTCAAATGAGAAAATGGTTTCAAAAATGCTTCTTTCCCGACTTGGCCGAATGGGGAGTCAGCTAGAAACTGAATTACTCGGGAAGAAATTCTTGTTTTATGAAACCACTATGTTATGAGTTGTGGCCAAGTTTGGCCAATGAGAATTTGACACGTTTCTGAGTATTTACCAACATCCCTCAGAAAGCCACGCCCTCCTCAGATACAAAGATGTTTTTAACACTTTGAATAAGAATGTCTTAAAACTCTTATGTGAGGTGCACATTAACCTAATGAGTATCTTATTGTAATGTGTATGAGTGTAAACAATGATTAACGTGTTAAATCAAACACAGTGATTTGTGATATAAATGGATCATTGTAAGAACAATATTCATTTCAAATTCATTGATTTGAGCACAGATTATTCAAACATTTGATTTAAACATCTTGTTCATTCATCACGTGTGATTTTTTTTAACTTATAAGTGTAAAATCATGGAGTCTTCACTTATTCAGAGTGAAGAGTGTTGACGTTTGACTTTCAGTGTGGAGAGATGAGTTGTTGCACTCTGTTGTGTAACAGAGAGAGATTTCACTACGCACAGCTGATGTGTGCCAAGTTGGATGAGTGCCCAATGCCTTTTTGGGCATTTCAGACCAAAGACAGAGGATATAATAATTATAAAAATGACTTAACAAAAAAAAAGTGTTGTTTACTTTAAAGATGAAACCAGTTTTATTTTTCTGAATACTTACATTTGCAAATCTATGAACCACTTATTTCTCGCTCTAGTTGCGAGGGGCTGCTGCCTAACTCCAGCGGTAATCTAACCTTGTGTCACATGTCATTCATAGGTAAATTAGTCAGAGTAGAGTATGATTAATGTCACCTCTGGGGAATTGTGGGATGAAATAGAAAAAGAAAACTTTGTCAGACATAGTAAAAGTCAAAGTCAGAGAGCTCTTGAACCTTCATAAATACAATGGTATATTCAAAATAGCTGAACTTTCCTTGCAGACATAATAATTGTCATCAAATACCGGTTAGTCCTCGGAGGCGTGTTTGACATAGGCTGATACGACATGTGCCCTATTTCACTGGTTTGTGCCTTAAAGTAGGGTCAAAGCAGTGGCTGCACTTTTTGTCGGCCAAACAGAAGGCTGCTTTTGGTCTTGATGTTCGTTCGTTATCAGATTATGTCCTCACACAAAATATCAAGCTTCCGCAGACAACGTTTCTGCAGGATAACTGAAGAGTGACGAAAACGATAATCCTGAAGCGAGCCTTTAAATGACAACTGCAGCAGTAGTCATAAATGAAAGAAAAAACATATATTTTTCTTTTGCTTATTTGTTTGTTTTCTTGCATTGTGCAATCATTTCAGACAACAGATTCAATTTAGTGTGTGCACAATGGAGCAAAGGTAGTTAACGTTTTTTCTTCAAGGACATTTTAGCGTTTTGTCAGACTTCTGTGCATTTGGCAAATTATTTGGTGAATTGGCATCTTAAGCAAAGGCCAACAGCAAGAAAATTGCTAATGAACTCAAAAGAAAACAAAAATGTCAAAAACAACATAGTTTGGGACTGAAAAATACTTTGCAGTCAGTTTGTGAACTTCTTGGAGGGTGATTTTCAATTACTCCCTAAATCCCCCCAGCCTTTATTAGCCTAACATTTCCTCTCTTTTTGCTGTTTATTCTCAACTCTATAATAATTGCAAACTGACACCAAGTGTGGAATAATAATTTGAGTCCCCAGAGACACTTCCGTTTCCCCGCATAAACTCATCTTCTCTGCATTTCTGTCACATTAGGATTCACACAGTGCTAAATTTCTTTCCTCTCTTCTCTAATTTCTGACACATTACCTTTCAAAACTATTCTATGATTGGGAACAATACACGCCAAATGGTAAAAATAAATACATTTCAGGGCTTTTTGGGTGTGTGTACGTGTGTGTACGTGTGTGCACTACCCGCTGGCTGAGAATTCTCGGGTAGGACTCTGCAATCGCTGAGTGGGACAAGACGACATGAATCTGTGGTCTCCGGGTCTGCAGCTGTGTACTATTGTGGAATTCACACAGGTGGAGGCAGGGTCTTATCAAATCCAAGCTTTTTCCGGATTGAAGGAATAGCTCACAAAAAGAACTTTCATAAAAAAAATGACATCTCAATAGTGCCAACCGTACTATTTCATCATATACTGTGCACGTCTTTGCTCTGGAATGTGTGAAATAGCACGGTACAGGCCCTTTCATTTGTTTTGTTGTCAAGGAATTGCTATATTTAAATGACAGTAGGACAAAACTAAGTTGCATTAACATTCTGACCCTTGCATCTGTGTCCTTTTTCCTTGTGAAAGCAAACCTTAGCAAGTTGTTGTAGAAAATAATATTTTTAACTTTGGCTCTCTTATAATTATATTCCACATTAAGTTGTTGTTTTCATTCCAATCTGTATAGAATAAATGAACACAGCTAATACGTTTATAGTCACTTTCCTTCTTCATTATTCTGTTTACCAGCTCACAGTCGGAAAATTAGCACCCAGGTTTTTAGTGCAGTTTCACTTTAAAATCATCATCTTCAAGTCAAGTTGCCCCTTGTTTGACCTTTTTTATCCAGCCCCAGATTTGCCTCTTAGTCTTCATGGCTTACTGTCATTGTCTTAGGGAGTCCTCTTTATTCGAGCTTACAACTTGACTACATCTTAATTAATTATTTAAAAAAATAAAACCAACAGCTAAACTAAGCAAGTATTTGAAATTTCAGTCTGATAAAACTTTAAACACTTTTATTTACTAATTATATAAGTAAAATTATGGTAAATTTAATAGATAAAGGTACATGTTCTAGTCTGTGTGTGTGTGTGTGTGTGTGTGTGTGTGTGTGTGTGTGTGTGTGTGTGTGTGCTGGGGGGGGGGGGGGTGCATTACTCAGGACTTGTGTGGTTTCTCCAAGTTGTACCTTCCTTGCATCCTTGGCCCCTTTGTGCCCTAAACATCTGTTTTCATGCTTTCCTACACCCACTTTGTAATTGCTTAGGCCTGCTTTCTACTTACCTTGGCATAAAATAAAGCCCAATTATAGTTCGTATAATAATAAATACATATGGTAAATGTGCTGGTACAAAATGGTGACCACTGTGAGCAAAACAGTAATTACATTATAGGAAATGACAACTGTTTAGTACAAATTGAGGCTCCAGCTTGGAAAAAACATCTGATTTAACCAGCTTCTTCACAATAATGTTCCCAACAGCCCCCTGTAATAACAGTTTGTATAGTCACAATTTTATATCTGGGTGAAGATAATTATTTGTTTTAACATAAATAACTAAATTTGGATACTTGATGAGAGCGATTTGTTATATTCAGACATCCAAAACTTACCACATCTGTAGCATGGACACAAGTTCACAGGCTACCTACATACTTTTGAATGTGGTCAGCAGATACGTCTGTGATCTGTTTGGACAGATTACTCCCTCCAGGCAGAAGCTGCTGTCTTTTACTGCTGCATTACTCTCACAAAACACTTGACACACTTTTTATAAGTCAGTAAAGATAAACAGATTTATGACTCACAACTGAATACAGCCTTTCTACAGCGATCTTCCTTTTGACCAGCAGGACCCGTATTGCTGTTCTGACCTCACACGTGCCTTTTTGTCCTGCAGAACAAGATCATCCTGGATCCACTGACATTCAGCGAGGCCCGTTTCAGGCCCTCTTTGGAGGAGCGCTTGGAGAGCATCATCAGTGGTGCTGCACTAATGGCCGACTCCTCGTGCACACGCGATGACCGCCGCGAACGTATTGTGGCTGAGTGCAATGCGGTTCGACAGGCCCTTCAAGACTTGTTGAGCGAGTACATGAACAATGTGAGTTTCCTTTTCAACTGTCTGATATCCATGCATTATGTGTGCTGGTGTTTGTGTAACAACTTCACACACAGCGTTTACCACCATGTTCATACTTTCCTACAGTTTCAGCTGGTTTAGCAAATGTTTACATCACTCTGTGGCTACATATTTCACATGAAATCATTTTCTGACAAATCTGTAGGGATAATGCACCAGCATTTACCGTTTATCTGCAATGAAAATGGAACCACATACAAAGTTGCCATTTACTTGGAAGATGAGTCAAGAATAAGATGATTTTTTTTAATACAGCACCTCTTAAGATAAAAATCACAAGGTGTTTCACAAAAAAACAAACAACAAAATAATTAATTAAAATTATAATAAAAATGGACAAAAAGGGAAATAAAATGTAAGATAAAAAATGTGAATACATTTTTTTTAAAGCGTGGGTTTTGAAATATGGATACAACACAGCTTACTGAGGTGTTTCTCCTCTCCACGCATCCACCCCATAAAAGTATAGATTTTCTCCTAATATGCCTGTTAAAACCTAAGTGTTGAAGTGACAAGAACAATGGATTCTTCATTCTGATAGATCAGAATGTAACACTAATCTGGGATCTGATACTTGGGCAGCATGTTTAGTTTGGTCATTGAGCTGGCTCAGCTGGGGTTTTACTATTAGTGTATATAAATCTGGAATTAAAAAATAAATATAGTCAAGTTTTTCTAAGTAGCATGTTCAATAACTAATGGGAAAAACCCGTGTAAAATATTTTTAGAATGAGTAAAACAATTGAGGCACTAAATTTATGATTATTGATGAGAAATAACTGTAATTATAATTATATCAATTATGGCTATTTCAAGAAAAAAATCTGTTCAAGAAACACAAAAAAACTGACCACAAAAATATACAAAATATATAAAAATTTCAAGGTAGAAAAAATTGTAAAAACAAAAACTAATAATAATAATAATAATAACCATACACTGGTGAGATACCAGCAGCTGGTATCTCACTTATCTGACTCTGATTTATTTGAGGCTTTCCAGTCTGGATTTAGGCCTGGACACAGCAATGAATTGGCCCAACTAAGGGTCTTGAGTGACATTTATATATCTTTGGATCAGGGTTTTTCTGTGGCACTTCTTTTATTGGACCTTACGGCAGCGTTTGACACAGTGGACTATGGTACACTGCTTGATCGCCTGGAACTATTTGTAGGGATCACTGGGTTTGGCCTTGACTGGTTTCGTTGCTACCTATATGGTAGAAGGTTCTGTGAGATTGGAGGAAGCTCTCTTGGGAGGCTCTGTGCTGGGGGTTCTGCAGGGCTCAATTCTTGGACCACTGCTTTTTGCAATTTATTTGTTACGTTGGGTTCTATCTTTTGCAGACATGGCATTAAGTTCCAGTTATATGCTGATGACTGCCAGATCTATTCTCCACTGTCTCTGGGGAACGGAGCTTCTTTTTTAAACCTTGAGACCTGTGTAAATGAGGTCAAGGCATGGCTTGTAGCTAACTTCCTGTATGTTAATGAACGTAAAACGGAATTTCTCATGTTTCACACAAGCTGCAGCTCGGATCTAGATTCTACTGTTGATTTGTGCACCTTCTCTTCCCTGTCACTAGCCTGGGGGTGAGACTTGATTCTGCTCATAGATTGGACTCTGTCAACTCAGTAGTTCGGTCTTGTTTTTTTTTCAGTTACGTCGCCTTACTAAACTCAAGCCTATTCTTTCCGGAACTCACTTGGAGCGTGTACTCCATGCGTTTGTGATCTCTAGACTTGACTACTGTAACTCCCTCTATGCTGAGTTGGGTCAGACTATTGTGCATCGCCTGCAATTAGAGCAGAACAGTGCTGCTAGTTTTTTGACTGGAACTAGGAAAAGGGGCCACATTTCTCCAGTACTGGCTTCTGTTCACTGGCCCCCAGTTTCATACTGGGCACAGTTTAAAATTCTGCTTTTTGTGTTGAAGTTTTTCCAAGGCAGTGCCCCCACCTACTTAGCGGACCTCTTAGTACAACATGTTCCCTCAAGGTCATTACGGTCGGCTGACCAGAAATTGCTTATCGTTCCTCGCACCCGATTTAAGACTCGTGGTGATCGGCTTTTCAAGTCCTTGCACTCTCTCTCTGGAATCAGCTCCCACTCACAATCAAACAGTCCCCATCACTGGCAGTCTTTAAGAGCAGGTTGAAGAGTCATTGTTAAAGGATGGCTTTCTCCTAAAGCTTTTGGTTTCTGGTTTTTATTTTTTTGTTCTTAGCTTTCTTTTAACTAACGAACTATAATTTTCTTTTATCTAAATTTTATCTAATTGGCATTTTATTTTTCTCACAAATGTCTATGTTCTTATTTTGTTTTTAATGTTTTTATGACTTGCTCCTTTTATCTTTGCCACTTTTCTTGTCCAGAACCCTTTGAGGGTGGTGGAAAGCACTACATAAATAAAGCTTGATTGATTGACTAATTGATTGAATAATAATAAAAAAAACATCACATTCACTTTTGAATTTTTTATAAATTAACATTTTGTTACATACAGAATTTGGAAACTTAATTTTGTTATTTTATTATTTTAATGTAATACATTTTTTTGATTGTCCAATTTGATAATATTAATAATAATCTAGTAAAGGTTTGGCCTTTAATGGCAGCATTTTTTAAGTTAAACACGCATTATTGATTATTTCAGTCAAGTAAATAAATACATATAATGTGATATAGATGGTCAGATTTTCTGGCCACAATATATTTAGCAGTTATAAGTAACACACAGTAACTGACCGTCCAGCTCTGCTAACATGATAACTTTCTTGAGGAAACTGCATTGAGCTCTTCATTTAATGAGATATCTTTTTAATACAGCAATGTTATCGGCAAAACAGTTTAAAGGTCATGAGACCGAGGAAGATGGTGATTATCCGTTGCTCACATTTAATATATTTCCTTCAAACCACGTCTTTGTGAAATGCTGGTCATAAGCTGTGTCTAAATCAATGGTAATTATAGGTGTTCTTGTATACTCTGTCACCAACCTACGAATCATTAGGTTATTTTATTTAACACTCCTAAAGATTTTTCCATTAATGGCAGCTCATAAGATAGTAATCCCATTAATCACACACCCATCTTATGGACTGTTATATTGACTCTTTTTAAAGTTTGTTCTTGATACTAGAATATATTAATTTCATTTTTTTTAATTCTTGTTATGCTTTCTCAGTCTGTATAAAGCAGTAACTATATATTATTGTGCTCTATAGTTTACCCTTCGTATTTAAAAAAAGGGATGTAAGTCATCTTCAGAATCTTCTAAACAAACAAGCTGGTCTTTCCTCCCGGTCCTCAGACATCTCCCCCCTCCTGCTCCATCACATCACCACATGCACATAGGGCCTTGGGGTGTGGGTAAGTTAAGGGGGTGCGTGAATGGTTCCCATCTCTGCAGTCCTGTGGTGACTTGTTCCCCTGTTTTATTTAGCAAGTTAAATATTTTCACCAACCACATTCATGCAAATGCACTCTTAGGGCCTTGGGGGTAATCACTCACAACGGCACCTGGGGGGGGGGGTCTGTTCACTCCTCTGGTGCCGGTGCATCTAAACACTGAACGTGATAAAACGTCACCTGTTACCCAGTCAGAGGCAAGATGTCCGGATATCATTTATGTTAGTAAGTCTCCAAATCCTGCCGTTGTCTGCCCCCACCCCTCTGGCTAACGTCTACTTCCTAAAACAGGAATGTTTTGGACTCACGAGACATTCATTCATACTAGAGGCCACAGTAAATGTATTGAAAAAAACGAAAGAGTCGGAGCTTAAAAGTTGCTTTTAAAAATAATGTCAATGATGTGGGAAAAAAATACAAAAACTTTTTACTATTTTATTCTTTGTTGTTTGCCCAAAGGCCTCTGATGCCTGTTGAAAATGTGCAGTAATTTCGGATCCAACAGGCCACCTGTGAATGGTGTGCAACTAAAGCAAAACTTCCATTGTATTGATTCTCTTTGTTCTTCTGTGGAGAGGGACATCTTTATGAAATACTCCCCATAAATGGCTCGCTTTTTGAAACAGAGGTTTCTGAAACACCTAATGAGCAATCGGAATCTTACCACGAACACGACACAAACTAATACATAAATATCTATTTTAATTTTTACGTCTAAGCTGTTGAGTCCACTAATCCTCTTTAGTTTTAGTAACAATTATGAGTTTCACATTTTCATAGGGAGCCTTTAAAGGGACGTTATGGAAGTTTGACAGCCAAAACATGCATAGAAATAATAAATTTCTTCTTCATGTATTCTCCTGCAATGCCCTGGTCCTGTAGAATGAGCCCTGGCATTTTTACTGTGATTGCCTGTTTTTCTATAAAATCACAGAAAAAGAGAGATGCTCGGGTCGAGCAGGCTGCTTCATGCGCGTTCACGCTCAGGCATAGCCCGTAGCATTTGCTATCCGTAGCTTTAGCAGCAGAGAGAGAGGTAGTGCCAACTCAGCGACAAAGTCGCTGTTCCTAACACCTAGTGACAAAGCTAGCTACATTTCTGAGGACACTTAGCTACTTTCTGTAGAACTTTCTTCTAGATATTTCCTGCAAATTAGCAAGAAAATAGCCATTTTCACTCCGAACCGTTCTCTGAACGTTGTTTCAGCTGTTATCAAGGATATAAATGTTACAGATACTGTGAATGTTACCAGAGTGTAGCTCACCTTGTAAGTTGTCTGACTCTCATGCTGAAGACCTGGGTTCGATTCTGGATGTGAACACAGTTTATTTAGAGTTTCTTTTTGACACTAATGGTATATTTTTTACAGTAAAATGCCCAAATTTTGATTTGAGACTTGCCGAACGGCATTGAATTCACGGATATAAAAGATGTGGGTTCAATTTTCATTTTGGAACAATTTTTCAAGCAAGGGAAGGGAATGATCTGAGCATGCAGGAGGACTGACCCATCTTAAACCTTTGTCGGCTGTGCTGAAGAGAAAGGGATA